CTTATATTCACACTGTAGTTTACTTTGTATGCAGGCATTTCTTTCCTTTAATAGAATGAAATCTAGCAATTTAATTGGTATTCTTTTATTTTATCAAAAAAATTGAGCTTGTAAATAACTATATATGTATAATTTCGTTTGTTATGAAAATCTTGTCATTTAAATAATCATTTGTGAACTGTATAAGTAGACTGTTCAGTTACCCTGATTCTATCGATTTGTCTAGTTTAACTGTAATTGTACAAAAAAAAAAAATCGTGAAAGCTATCCAAACAATAGAATATAAATCATTACTCGTTTTTTCTCAAACAGTTACATTGAAAAACTAGTTAGTCATATGTTGATCAACAAATATTGAAGTTTTGAATTCTGTTGTGATAATTACTGATTCGAGAAAGAGAGGATGTGTTTGGTAGTCATATTTAATCTTATTGTACAAAAACATGCACTATTATCACTAGGGCGTTTCGTAACAAATATATCTCTCCTGATAGACATCACTCATAGATTGTTAGGATTGGATCAGTGAATTGACAGACATGATGATTTCTTGTTGAATTTTCTTCATTCTGTTTACTTGTATTTCTTGAAAATAAATATTGACTAATTTGATTGTGAATTTCGCTGATCTACTTGTATTTATTTCTAAACTAAACATTTCATAATATTTATTTGATTAACACTTTACATATTCCAGATCATCAATCATACAGTTATAATGTACATAACAAGAATGCTTATAATCATTGATGAAACTTTGTCAATGGGAAATGTTCTTTGTGAATGTATTAACAGAATGAATATTACGTGTGTATATTTGTATGATTATGAGTGTAGTTACTTGAATTGACTAGATGATTTCACAACATTTATGAAAGAGATCAAATCAAGTTGATTTGATAAATGTCGTGTCCGAGTGCACCACAATTCAAACAATTTCATAATACGTTTACTTTTCAACTCAACTTTTTTCTTTAAAACAATGGAAAAATAAGACTTGACATTCATGAATATAAGAGAGATGACATAACACTAGGTAAAACAGCTGGTTTTCGCATTGCTTGTAACATTTGTAAATGGATTAAATATTTCTGTAACAGATTCGAAGGTAGAATTAGCTCTAACCAAACCCACAAATAGCCCTCACATTTTTTAATGATTAACATTTTCACAAACCGATGGACGTTTTGCTGAAAATTCCTATATAATTATTAAGAAGTTGTCAGAATTTCAATCTTACTTCTCTAATAATTGCGATTATGTGCAGTTATTGATGAATTTTTTTACTTCTACGGAGAAAAAAGAGGATTCTGAACTACTGTTGTATAGTATGGTGTTCAGAACGACATCTTCAATTATAAGTTGAATTCCGTTACCCAGAGTGGTACGTCCACAGTAAAACATAGTGGCTTAGACCACTTCTGGAGTCTCACATTTGAAAAAAATGTCAATAATTCACTAATAAATTGATAATAATAACAACTATTTTTGCTTTATTCAACACATCCTAGATTTTAAAATATAACCAAAATCATTCTCATTGTTATTCATTCACACTAAATTTAAGCATATATAAATTCACAACAAATAGTAAGTAGTAGTGGCCTAGACAGAGAGTGTATATGGTATCATGAATTTTGTATTCCAGTTTTATCTATATGTATATGAGAGGGAAAATCAAAGTCATGTAATTTCTTAGACAAAACAACACTCGAACTCACACACTGATTTCAGTCTAGACAAATCAGGTCAGACAAATTTTAACCACATTGGTTTTTATAACAAATAAGGATTGTTTTTCTCTAAAAGAATTAATGTTATGCGAATTGCTCAACTAAAATATGCGAAATAAATATTTTTTTGTAACAACAATAGCAACGAAAACAATGATAATGAAAATATTAATTATCAGAAGGGGTTTTGTGGAGATTTAGTATTTTTTCATAGTAGAAAGCATGAGTCAATTGAAGCTAGACCGCCATGGAAAACCTGGAAACACTGGACGGCCGTTTCGTCCTACTATGGGACTCTTCAGCAGTGCGCATCCACGAACCCGCTCCCGCGAGATCCGAACCCAGGACCTACCAGTCTCGAGCCAAAGCCCTTAACCGATAGACCACTGAGCTGGCATCCAGCGGTGTTAATGTCTAACTTCGGCTCGAGACTGGTATGTCCTGGGTTTGAATCTCTGAGAGCTGGTTCGTGAATGCGCACTGCTGAGGAGTCCCATAATAATGAAAATAGTTTGTTCTATCCTGATAATTTGATGAGAGTAATAGGCGAATTCAAAGGATTTTTATTAAAGTGGGATAGTGCTAGCAGTGGGATTCGTCAGTTAATTATACATGTATTCCAATGTTGATGTTCACACGGGAGACTCAACTTTCCAATTCAAACAGCAACGCATTGTTCACTGAGTCCAGATAAACACTGATTTGAGCGACCAGAGACTGATCCATTGTAGTCCTTAATACTGATGGTAGAAAAATACAAACCCTTACAAATGAACTGCATACTTATTATACTAGCCAATTGATATATATAGACTCAGTAAATAAAGCGTTAGCGTTAGGTACTTGGACATCAATACCGGCACATAGGTTCATAAGACTACCAATTCATAAATATTACGAGATATGAGTTCTGGACTACATTGTCAGCTACTGTTCAACTCTATTAAAAACTAGTGACCTAATGATAATATTGAAGTAATTCATATGCGATTCGCATATATCAAGAAGGCTAATCAGCTAAATTCCTTAACATTAGCAACGGGAAAATGAAAAATCTTACAAGTGTTAGCTTAAAGAATGCTTTAGACTGATAAATGAGCATACATTTAAGCATAATTCTAAATAATTATGCTTAAACTGTAGTTTAATCACTTAACTTTTAAAATGTTTACAAAATCCTCTTCAATTCTGTGACTTTATATATACCTGGAGTGACTTCAGCTGACGAATCAGTGAGTTCTAGGAAGGATTGAATAACGATACTTCAGATTTTATGTTCCTTTTCTAAACAAAGTCATAACAAAACTGTTGAAGTCTCAAATAAAGTCGAAATCGTCATTGATCATTAACTGTATTTGAACTATTTCTGTGTTGTTTGTCGTTAAATCGTCTGACTAACAAAAATTGCAAAAATGAATTTCTCGATTCATACTAGCAATACTGAATTCTCTGAGATAAAGCTGTTTTTTAGTCAAAATAATAAAAAAGTTTGATCTCTGCTGAATAGCTTTAAGACTCAGGTAGTATTTATAATCAGAATAAGACCTGGCACACATTTTTATCGATTCAAGTTGTCGTACCATATTAAAAGAGCGAGATAAAATTATCCAGGGTAGAAGTAGCAGTAACATAGACTATATCAGTAGTACTATACGAGGTTAGGCAGACAATATGAATTGAAAAATAATGAATAGGAAAAAAATAATGCATTTGTATGACTGCGATCAATTTTGAGTCATTTCACTCAAGGTCCATAACCTCTGGTTACTTTATTCGCGCGGACGCTAACCAGGTAATCTTCACCCACTTGAACGATTTTGATTTTATGATTTGGTTTCATGTACTGATTTCGCCAACCCATGTTTGGAATTGGGCCATTAAAGGAGCGGAGTGTATACATATATCATACAACTGTTTTTGAATCTAGCATACAACAGGAGTGTCATACGCTATTGGACCAGCCTTAGTAGCTTTAACAAATCTCTAATTTTTTTTAAGGTGTTGTGGAGTTTCCCTTTTTACTATAATTGAGACAGTAATCTACCAACGATATTGGATATTGGTCAAGCTATACCACAAACAATTAAAACCCAAACCATTGAAACTCGACTCAGTTATTTAGGAACATTATATTCGCTGGAATTCTAGATATTTTTGCGTTCAACTGCACATGAGATCATGGTTGACACATTCCACAAAAGACATTTCGACTTTATTTCAAGAAACTAGATACATACATTTTGACTGTAAAATAAGTTGATTCAGTTAAGTGTAAAAACACTTGGTAGGTAGTTCGTTATTCCATCTCAGTAAAAGGATAATAGGGATGAATCGATGAATGTAAAACGAGCAGAAAAAAATACTTCTGTATACTGTTAAAAAACTCTGATGTTTTCCCCATCATAGAGCAAAATCCGTATAGGTCCTAATAAAGATTTGAAAGGTTGAAAATCTATATTCATAAAAACGAGTTTATATGTCATAGTTTTTTTTTGTCGTCTTATAGGTAGAATAACCTATACAGGATATCAATAGATTTACTGGTAACTTAAAACTGGTCTATACATCTAGAGATATTGTAGTGTCGGTTGATATGTTAAGCTCATATACTTTATTCTGGCTTCCGGACAAGCCAATTTACCTATCCATCATGAGTCCCGTTTTGACCTTGTTAATTATTCACTTATTAACCCTGACTATTTTTTATATGAGCGTATATGTGTGTACACTTCTTATCCCATTCATCACAAGTCTGCTTTTTATTTTTATCTGGCTATAAATATTGATTAACTCTTGATTAAAGCCAGTTGGCTTATCCGCCGTCTCCAATGTGCATTATTTTCGCTTGCTCGCTGATAATTTCTCACATGATTATAGCTTTCCGGCCTGCATCATTAGTTAATAAAACTGTAGTTGCCGCTTTTCTTTGCCTTCTGATTTTATGCACCGTTAAGATTTGTATTATAACGGTTAGCGAGGTGAACGATTAACGAAGCATGGCAATACAACATTATTTCCTTGTCTATAAACAATTCATTCATATAAGCTATTTTCTGATTGGCTGGAAATTCATCGCAGTATTTTACGGTGTTCCTTAAAACATATATCTTTTTATTATAACAAGAATTATTTACTTTAAATATGTAGAAATAGAGATATTGTCCATCATTGGTGACCTCTGATATTACCGTCAAAATAAACACAGATTATATTGATATTAATTATCATTATGGAGTGTGCACATTTAATTAACAGATATATTTCCTTGTAGGTAAGTAGCCCATTAAGAAAAGATCATTTAATTGACTAGCCAACGAGATATTTCTCAAATTATCACTTATTATGTAAATCATTTTAAAATAACTAATTTCATCTCGACACTTATCATTCATTGAATAAAATAAACATAATGAAGTGTACATAGACGAGAACAATAAAAATACAGCATCATACCACAAAGATGAACACTTGAGTTTCAGTTGTAATTGATAGCCATTGAGATTAATAATATTCTAGACATTACTAATATAGCTTGAAATGTACAATGATTTACACTGTTGAAGATTCTCTTGATATTCGTAAGAATTTCATTTCGTATGTAAACTTTAAGAAGTGATATTATATGGCATGGATGTAATGGCTTTTTCTCATTTTGAATGGTTTTTATTAGAGTAATGATGAGGGGGACAGATATAGTAAACAGGTTGAGAGAGTCAACTGTCTGTATTCTGCAAAATAGTTAGATGACAGTTCCTTACAATCTTAAGTTAATGACAAGAAGAAACATCTGTGGTGTGAAGACTCAAGTGGCAAACATCTCGTTTACACAGTGATCTCAGGAAAGATATCCGACTGCAGGGTCAGTGGCAAAACTCGGTACATCGTGTCAACAAAATCGTTAGGTGGAGCGTTGCAAATCGTTTAGGTAGGAATAGTTTCTTCAAGACTGCAGGTACGCTTTTCTGATATTTAGCTCGAGGCCTAAACCCAAAATTTATTTCCCAGTTTTTTAAACTATCTATAATCACAGTGCAAAGCGATATCGAGTCGTTTAAAGTGGTGGAAACTTCATTCCAATAAATTGATCATCGTCAAAAATAGACAAACATGACAGGGAATAACAATATTTAGTGGCCATTTCCGGTATATCCAAAAGTTATCCAGTATATTAGAACAAGAAAACGTATCATGGATAATTCAAAAGGAAAAAGTAACCGATCAAAAGTCATCAGTATGAACAAACGGCATCAACCAACTTAAATGACCAACCGCATACGAACCACGTAGAAAATAATTTCAAAACTCTAAAACCTGTACTCACTTAATGTAGAATTACATTAAGCGTAGTGCCTAGCTTAATTTGTCACTGAAACGAATGCAATTACCTGAACATACAAAGTACACTAATTAAAAACCAAGGTATAAAATTACGAACACCAATCTAATACAAAGTCTATCATGTCAGGTCAATTGACATTTTCGAATTCTGAACAAACAAAGCAAAGTCCATGTGTATCTACTTGAAATTTTTTTAAAAGAAAGGGAAAAACTATGAAATATTGAAAATATTTTCTATCGCTTACATCCACAAATATCAACTGTTCATTCCAGAAAAATAAAACAGACGCCATTTTTATGAGTAATAGTGGCAGTAGTAGTAAAAAATTAAAATTTTCCAAAACGATTTAATGGATATATATATAAAGATAGAGAAAGCTACATTTCAAAGTTTCATATACACAATGCTAATACTAGTAGGTTGGATTAAAAAAGGACAGTAACAAGATACACACAAGACAAAAAATAAACAGTGCAATTAATGTACAGCAGGTTCCAAAGAATACTGAAAAAAAATCAAATTAACTCCAATATAACATTTTTATGTACAGAAAATGAGGAATTAGATCCCCTATACTATAGAAATGAAGTCGAGAGAATGGTGGAGTAAACACAGGCACCTACTTTGGTGCATGTACGAACAGAATAGGGCAAGAGTATATATATATATATATATATATATATATATATAAAGTACAATATGCAATATTATTACTACTGTTATGATTAATATTATTGGTAGACATGGGTATAGTAAATTTTTAAAACTGTAAAAAGCGCAAACAAGTTTGAAAATATATTTTACAATGAGATAAATTTATATAGGAGAATACCAGAAGGAGTAGAACTAATGTACAATTTAAGTTAGCTTTCATTCGTTCAGTAGTACATATAGACGGGAGAAGCAGTGAAATCTTTAGTTATGTTCACAATCTTTATGATTATTATTCTGGATGAATAAAAAAAGGAAGGATAAAAACATTATAAGACATAGTTGGTTAGCATTGTTTTAATATTTTTCAGAGTAAGATTTTCAATGACTTTAACTATTACTACGATTGTTACTGTAATTACAATATTTGGTAAGCGTAATAGAGACTAGAAGGAGTAAGGACGAGGAGGGAGAAAATTGAAAGGTTGATGGTTATATATTGGCGCTAATAAACATAAACAGACAAAAAAGTGGGTGAAATCACAGAGAGCTTGAACGATCTTCTCTCTTTATCTCCTGCTCGTTTGTTTTCTCTATACATTTCAATTTAAATGAGGAAATATATCTCGTTTTTTGGTAAAAACAAAATAGTTTACATTGTCAATCAAAATGATGGTCCACGACTAACTACAACTGCATGCCCAGATTTACCACAATCCATAAACGTTCGTTCAGTCCATTGATCTTTAATTGGATTATAAACTTCAACACTTGCTAGAAATTCACTTCCATCGTAGCCACCTAAACATAAAAAAGTGAACAACGAGAGCACTTAACAGTATTAATAATAATAATAATTTTTAAGGGAACAAAGAATTTATCAATTTTGATAAATAGAGAGTTTACATTTGTCAATTTCAGGACAACTTATAGTATTGAGTGAAACTCGATTTAAAGACCGATCTTTTAGTTCATTCTGGAAAATGAGCCAAGCTACTTACTAACTACAAAATAGATAGAGACTTCAAAAATTCCTCGGAAAAAACCCAAAGCGGCCCTGAAAACTCTGAGGAACATTTTATACAATTAGCACTGAATAGGAGTTTCTAGAATGCATCTAGAAAGTGATGGGTCACGTGTCACATTTCTGATTGGACAAATACCTATCCTGCTACTATGTTTGGTAGGGTTCCAGAACTTTTCAGAAGCCCGAGGTCGTCTGAAATCTTACAAATACCCCCCATTTTCTGTGCACAAACTAACCTTGGAGTAAAGCGTTCTTTCCATATTTTGCACCTTCTCTCTCGTGTTCAAGTTATCGTGTAGAGTTAGCCTGTGGTTATTAGAAGAGCTTAGAAAACCGATTCAAACGTTCAGTCAGAAGATTTATCAGAAATGACAGACACAATATTACAACGAAAGAAAAGAAGGCTTCATACTATTCGTTTAAAATGTAAATAATATGTAAGACACCAGTTATGCAGGACACTTAACGGTCTAGGACATGACCATCGGACTTCATCCTCAATCAATACATTAAACATATAAGTGAATGAGAAAATGTTAGATGATAATAGTAATAATAAAAATAAAATGTGACTTTATTTAAAAAACTTTATTCATATATTCACACATTTACTGACTCACCAAAAACCCATATTTCATTTCCCCATACTGAAGCACTTAATGCTGATCTTGGATGTAGCATAGATGCACAATATTCCCAACAATTTCGTTTAGGATCATAACGTTCCATTGTATTTAACTGACTACAAGAATCATATCCACCAATTGCATAAATGTATTCACCAAGTGCAACAACACCTTTAGATGTTTTTCACAAAAATATATGTATATATATGAAGAAATAAAGAGGAAATATTGAATAATTAACAGACTGATCGATTACTGATTAATAGATAAACAGATAGACACTAACAAGCTATACACATATACATGATACAGCTAACAATTGGAATATATATTCAGAGTTTATCATAATGATAAGATAGTTCTCAATCCTGGACTAATAACACAATTATATATATATATATATATATATATATATATATATATATATATATATATATATATGAAATGTATTAGGCTAATACATCACATAGTTCTGATAATCTTCGTCCTCTTATTACACTATGGGAAGTAGAAGTCTGCGTTAAGACCTGTTTTCAGAAAGGCAGATTGTGGGAATACCTGAGTCTCAAGACTGTCATTGTAGCGTCTACCTAGAACTCTGGGAGCTGTATTGTATTTTAATTCAAATCTCAAATATATTAGGTTAAAATTTACTAGTTCTTATCATTATCATTCATAATGACAACCTAGGTCAAGTTACAATATCCGAAAATGACTAGACAACTGTTTAGTGTAGAGTAATACAGAGTTCGTTTTGCAAATAATAGACTTGATTTCTACAAGAATATGATTCTTATTTTCTTCAGTGACTTCGAAAAATTCTCATCACCTAATTACTATGAAGTAATCACTAATTCACAATCGGACGAAACTTCTTATAATAAACTATCATGGATTACATCACCGACTGGACTTAGTTAAACAATCATTGGAAACCAGGATGGATTGGATAACTAACTAACATCAGTTCACGATGCCATCGATGTAAATCTAACAATATCCACAAACCTCGTATGCTAATAATAATAATAATAATAATCCTGTCCCAGGAATTCTGTGGAGCTATGATTAATGGAGTTAAATTATAACAAGTATGAGACATTCATCCAACAATGATACTACATTATCACAATACCATGAACTGATTGAAGCTTGCAATGTAAACTATTAGATGGCAACGAAGTGAACTAAAAATGATGTGCTTGTCGTATGTTTAATAATAATAAGTCACGTCCTATTGTGGGACTCCTAAGCAGTGCGCATCCACGATCCCGCCTCGCGAGATTCGAACCCAGGGCCTACCAGTCTCGCTTCAGAGCGTCTAACCACTAGACCACTGAGGAGTCCCACAATGGGACGAAACGGTCGTCCAGTGCTTTCAGGTTTTTTCATGGTGGTCTAGCCTCAATTGACTAATGATTTCAACTATGAAAAATACTGAAATCTCCACAAACCCCCTTCTGATAATAATAAGTTAGTCTGTTAATTTAAAATACTTTGCCACAGTGAACTAAACACTTGACTATTAGTATACCAGAGTGGGTTGAGAATTATTAAATTAATACTGGTGTTACCGTTGAAGATGTTTCTTGTTCTTCAACTCAACTTTTTTTCTCGATTCAGTCAATGTGTTTAACTAGTGGGACCAAAGGCCTAGGACAGAGTGGGTTGGAGAAAGCTGGTCGGCGACCTATGCTCCATTGGGAGTAACAGGCGTAAGTAAGTAAGTAAGTAAGTAAGTAAGTAAGTAAGTAAGTAAGTAAGTAAGTAAGTAAGTAAGTAAGTAAGTAAGTAAGTAAGTAAGTAAGTAAGTAAGTAAGTAAGTAAGTAAGTAAGTAAGTAAGTAAGTAAGTAAGTAAGTAAGTAAGTAAGTAAGTAAGTAAGTAAGTAAGTAAGTAAGTAAGTAAGTAAGTAAGTAAGTAAGTAAGTAAGTAAGTAAGTAAGTAAGTAAGTAAGTAAGTAAGTAAGTAAGTAAGTAAGTAAGTAAGTAAGTAAGTAAGTAAGTAAGTAAGTAAGTAAGTAAGTAAGTAAGTAAGTAAGTAAGTAAGTAAGTAAGTAAGTAAGTAAGTAAGTAAGTAAGTAAGTAAGTAAGTAAGTAAGTAAGTAAGTAAGTAAGTAAGTAAGTAAGTAAGTAAGTAAGTAAGTAAGTAAGTAAGTAAGTAAGTAAGTAAGTAAGTGGGACCAAGCCATGTAGAGGGTTTGAGGAAAACACTGACCGAAGACATTGGAAGATAATCGTGCGCTGTCATGGACTGACTGAAGTTATATTTGTACACCACCGGATTCCAGTTCAGTAGTCTACAGGTTAAGTTTTTGTACCTGAGGCCAACGATTTTAAGTTGGGTTCCCGCTTGTGGGTCGTTGGGGCCCACCACTGAAGAGTCCCGTACTAGGACGAAACGGCTGTTCAGTGCTTCCATGTTTTCAACGGTGAGATAACTTTGATCGGACTATGGCTTCAATGAAATATTTTTAACTCTTCGAACAATGGAGTTAACTGGAAAAACTCGCTAATTTCCGTAGCTTTGATCAGTAAGTTCAAATAAAGCCAAACTACTAATAGGAAATCAGGTTTTATGAAATGCATATTGTACAAATAATAGTGATAATGATAATAATAATAAATGTAAAAATAATATGAAAAATGTTTTTACAGTATTCTTTCTCATGACAAAACTATTAAACTGTTGCCATTCTCTTTCTTTAAAATAAGGAACTGTATTTCTTTTAGGACTAAGCCGAAATGTTCCATATAAACAATCTACTAAAGTGTTACGTATGGTTTACACTACTAACAGTGGGGACTATATGATAATTAGACAGACCAATAAACAGACAGGGACTGGTATTATCAGGCAGACAGAAATAGTACATGTCTTTAAGTAAAACCAATTTATTAACATTACTATTACTTTATTAAAAAGAAGTTATGAAAAAGATAGGACAACGACAAGAGGAAAACCAGACAGAGAATACCAACATTGTTGATCTGGTGTGAAAAGAGAACAGATTGGCAATATACATGAAAAAAACTGGTTGATAATAACAATCTGGAATCGGACCCAGACATAAATGTTTACGTGTGTGTCTATGTATATAGATACTTCTATATACATAAATACATACATACATACAAGTAAGTAGACGATATTGATAATGACGACAACAACGTCAAAAAAACAATAATCATAACAACAACAAGTCTTTAGAGCACAGCAAAACACAAGTCGCAACAACTGACAGTCTGTCTATGGATAATAGTTTTAATTATAATAAACCAAATACAGTCTACGATGATGATTTGGATAAAAAAAAGTTCACTATCACTATTAAACAAGTAGATAATTATTAAATGTAAATAACCGTTAGGTAGATAGACAGCTAGGCAAGCAGACGAAACCAAATGGATAAATAGATAGATAGGTAGAAAAAAAGTTGAACAATCTCTCCTATTTTTTACTGATACACACAAGTGAATATACACAGGATTTCTCAAATGTTCTGCGTTCTTACTACTTGTTGATATATAGATATATGTGTACACATACGATTGAAGATGTTGTGATATTACAAATAAATGCATAACATAATAAGTTGATAAATTAACAAAAGTCAAAATCGACATGAGTATCAAAATAATTTAGTGAAAGAAAAAAACAAACAAGTAAAATCTAGACAATCAGGCTACGTGTACCAGATAATAACGAAAATTTCTTCAGAGATGCACGAATATATATGAACACACACACGTCCATAGGAACGTAAAGATATACAGACAGAGAAGTCAAACTGCGTAACAGAACTATTCAACAGAAAGAAAACAACAATTATCCGTAGAAAGAAGAATAGCAAAGGAGATCAATGAAAAGCAAAGATTAAGTCGTGATGAAGTGAAAAATGTGAGTCAATACATTTAGCTGAGTCATACTGACTCGCTCCGTTGACTGGTTTAGACACAGTATAGTCAGAAACATTTATTTGAACAAGTATAATAAATAAAATGAGTACGCTGTCTAAGAATGAACAAGCTATTGTGGTGGATAATAATGAAACGTGACTTATTATAATTTCCAGAATATATATATATATATATATATATATATATATATATATATATATATGACTGACAGAAGCTCAGTAGTTGAGAAATTTCATTTCACTCAAAAATTAGTTATCCCAGTGAAACTAAGCATAACAATCAATACGAACGTAATTCTATTTTTTTTTATGAAGAGGAAAAAACTCCGTTTTGATTGACATTGAACTGAATTTACTTATTTTCCTTCGTAATATTCATTAAAAAGCTTGTTGGTTAATAGTAATAATAAACTGAAATATACTTAACTATGAAATTAGGAAACATTAATTACACAGAACACTTCCATTAAGAAAGTTGACATTTGTTTTTTTTTATTATTGTCAAATAACTTTTCGGTACGGTATACGTGAAGGGGGTCATCTTAGGTGTAGTCATTAGTGATGAGCTTCAAACTCTTTATGCTGCCTTCATACGAAATATTTATCCAGTAGTCATTTATGAAAAATGTTTTCAGATTATGTTGGGGATGTCAAATCCCCAGAACTTGCTTGGTAAATGGCTTAGTTTTGTAATTTTATTTTGAAAATTTGAATTTAGCTGTTTCCGCGCCAAACGCGGAAACTGTCTTAAACGCTATTGGTCCATTGTTTCTTTGTGTGTGCTATTTACCAATGATGCTCAAGGACAAATTGTTGTTGTATAAATGCGCTTGACTTTTTCCCTTATTCGATTACTGTGCTTCTGGCTGCTTACGGAATACATATATATTCCCCTACTTGCCTTGGACTTCTTCATCTAGTTAGCGGGGCCTGGGACAACCGATTAGAATAGCTTATCGTGTCATTGTGTCATTGGCTTTCGTTCGTTAACGCGGAATCGATTCAGTTCAAGCATAACAGATTAAAAGGTCGTTTGTACAAAAAACTAATTTACCAAAACAAAATCTGACATCAAATAATGATATTTTAAAGCTCCATGTTAGGTTAAATGAAGTGTGGGGTCAATTTATAGTGAGTAAATAGGCTAATCACTCAAGCATAGCCACCGTCTACCTGTTCTCATATAGGTATTAGCTTACCAACATAAATATCTGCATGACTGATAGAAAAATACTCCGTCCATTATTTAAAAATATAGCCACCTACGCAGTTTAATTTTCTTTTTTATTTCTGTTGGGCTGATTATGACGATTAAAGAGTTTGTATATTATAGCTAAATTGTAGACAATACTATAAACTGTTTAGTACACCTTGTATCAACATGATTTAATAAGTAAACCAATTGATTAACTGATTCTTATTAATGTAACACTTCAAATTAACTTTAGTGATAAAAAAAGATATAACTAGATAACAAATGTCAAACTGACAGACACATGATTTACCATAGAGAAGTTATTATACACAAAAGCATTACCAACACACATACATCATAGGGAGAGAGAGAGAGATAAGAGAATTGTGCACAAAACAGTGCAGAAAGACAGAATGAGACAAAACATTCAAAAGCATACTTTGTTAAAGATGGGAGGAAGGGCAACAACAAAAACGGCGAAAATGGAAACGGAACATATTGGCAAGAATAAAGTACACTTCAGTGAGGAAAATTGAATTGTAAACTACTATTTCACTAACGGAACACTTCTCTCTCTTCCTCTCTTTTTCTTAAATCGCTGACCGTTATTTGATTGACCTCATATAATCAACATTTTAAAAAGTTAAACAGGATTAAAGTCCAGTATAAAATATGTGAATCTTTAAATGAAAGAAATAAAATAAACGACTCAAAGTTAAGTGAAAGCACTGAAGATGTTCACAAAATAATTATCAAATACACATCTTGATTGTTTTTTTAAGTAAAGTCAATGTTTATGTGTCTGGTAAAAAGCGTTTTATTTTAGAATATGGGAATTATTAATTGCGCAAGATCATAGACATTATAACATCCTTAAATGTTAACTCAATAGTTTATAGATTAAGTATTCCTGGGTTCGAATCTCGCAAGGCGGGATCGTGGATGCGCACTGCTGAAGAGTCCCACAATAGGACGAAACGGCCGTCCAATGTTACCATGTTCCCCATAGTGGTCTAGCTTCAATTGACTCATAATCTCAACTATACAAAAAATCTTTACCGATTTCCAATATTACTCACGTTAATAGTATCATGAAAATTAAAGGCAATTTAAAGAAACCTTAACAAATAAACACTATATATATATATATATATAAGTAAATAAATAACTCCAAACTTACCTGCACCGGATCTAGCTCGATTTAAACAAGCTAACTCTTCCCAATGATCCTTTTCCGGATCATAACGTTCAACTGTATTCAAACGTTTCTCACCATCAAAGCCACCAACAGCGTATAATAAGCTAAAAATATTTTTTTTTTAAATAGTATGTAAATAACACAAACTCTGTTCAATAAATATGAGAGTAGATTTACATATTTCTTATCTCTGTACTAATTCTATTTTATAATTTAGAAATTAATAGCACCTTAAGAAAAAACTTAAAGTTCTTACGAAGATGGGGTAGAGATGTTATATTCAGCTCTTGTCAACGATTTAGACTGATGAACAAATAGAGTAGTGAATAAACACCAAATTCTAAAAAAAGCTTTCAGAAAACTCATCAAATGTTGAGGACTGCTGATAAAACTTAATCTACCGAAGAAGAAAAAACTCATCACAAGTAGATCAACAGCTTTAGTAGTGCTTAGTCCTACGTTATAACTGACTGACTGGTGGGTGTTGGTGAAGAATGAAAAGATAATGCAAGATCGAAACGTCTGCTAACAAGGAAACTTGAAAGTCAAACTTCTGAAGATTTTCCAAGATGTTTTACGAAATCAGAAGGGATACAAGGCAAGTGCGTCGTAACAAACGGGAAATATTTTAAAAGGAACGGTCGGTGTATTTTATATTTTAGAATCATAATTCAATTTTTTCACTGGACAAAGTGTACATAAAGATTGATACCAAAAACTTTTATAGTTTCATCTGTTCATCTAATTTTAGTTCTCAATTAGAGTACAATCTTAAAAAATAATAATTAAACAATTAAATAATTAATTCTAAATAAGATATTCATCCTTAAGGTTTGTAAGCACAAATAATCGTTTAGCATAGCTCATTAACAACACTTAGTGCAATTTGAGAAAAAGTGATTGTATCTATTAATAGATAGTCAATATAATAAAAACGATTCTCCTAATGGAATCAGACTCTGAACTGATCAAAGAGTGATAGAAATAAGAATTGTAGTAATCCACACTGTGTTATTCATTTTGAAAATTAAGTTAATGTTTCTCATTTACACTGATTACTTTAAAGTTTAATAACTTTTAAATAGTCCCTGGTAAAGGCTATGATTTAAGTATAAAGCTAAACACGGCATTTATCAAATCAACTTGATTTGATCTCTTTCATAAATGTTGTGAAATCATCTAGTCAATTCAAGTAACTACACTCATAATCATACAAATATACACACGTAATATTCATTCTGTTAATACATTCACAAAGAACATTTCCCATTGACAAAGTTTCATCAATGATTATAAGCATTCTTGTTATGTACATTATAACTGTATGATTGATGATCTGGAATATGTAAAGTGTTAATCAAATAAATATTATGAAATGTTTAGTTTAGAAATAAATACAAGTAGATCAGCGAAATTCACAATCAAATTAGTCAATATTTATTTTCAAGAAATACAAGTAAACAGAATGAAGAAAATTCAACAAGAAATCATCATGTCTGTCAATTCACTGATCCAATCCTAACAATCTATGAGTGATGTCTATCAGGAGAGATATATTTGTTACGAAACGCCCTAGTGATAATAGTGCATGTTTTTGTACAAGAGTTGAAGTCAAATTCGATGTATCTCATTCTTCGTCCATACCAGTACGGATTGATGAGTTCAAATTATAGTTATTGAAAACGTATCCAATATGCCTACCATGTATTGTGTGATGTATTACCTCCTACTAATTAGTTGATAGTTAACATTTTTGTTATATGGAAAGACTTCAATGAATTTAGTCCTGTACATGTGATTCTACGAATTTTCACAAATATACCAACCACTTTTTTATTGAACATGGTTTTTATTTGATTACAATCAGTCAAGTTTGTCATACATTGATGTTTCGATTTGTATCAAAATATGAGAACTAAATATATTCTGACTGTATTTTGAAGCATATTACATACATTAGATGTCATTTCACAATATCAACAGTACAATTCATTAGTTACGGACTACATATTAACCTCTATAACAGAATAATTAAAGATAAATTAGTTGAATGTCACGTTAAGTTGGATACCTTATGGTGTAAATAGTAAATAATTTATCACAATACACTCTGAATCATTATTTATACATTTTATTAAATTAAAAGAACTAGACACAGTTGGGTAAGAAGAAATTCTCTTCAAAAAAGTGTTCTGGAATTTCTATGTGGACGAAATACTATGCTTAAAAGACAAAATAAAGAAACGAGAAACAGAAAGAATTATATGGAATGTAAACAAACTTCGTAATAATCATCTACTTACCGATTAAGTACAGCAACACCTAATCCAATTCGTCGACTATTCATAGAAGCTATCGGTATCCATTGATCCATATCTGGATCATATCTACAATACAGAATACAATTATATATATATATAAAGAATAAATCTGCCGTTTATCATAACAATACTGATAAATCCAATGATTTCATACACTAGACTGTAGACCAAATCAAATCTATCTATTTTTAATTATTATTAATGAGAAAGCTTACTGTAATCATTGGTAGTATAAACCATGGTAGGTGAAATTATAAAAAAAACTAAGGTAGGTCAGCCGTGTACATTATAACAACATTTTTATCGTATGGGTTTATGTAATTAGCCATAATCTACGCTACATGATAAGGTTTAGCTATACTACACGGATTTGTGGTTAGGGTTTATGGGTTAGAACTATGAATTATACATAGCATAGATTAAACAATTTAAATCCTAAACCTTGATTCTAACAGTTACAAACTCAAAGTATACTTGAAAATTCCATTAATTATGTAAAATCAACATATCACCGGTAAACTCAGATTTGCTGTTATCTTATTTAATTAAGAGTTATAAATCCCAAGGTTGCTGGACAGCATACTTTAGGTTTATTATATTTATAAACATGACCAAGGAATATTTCCTCCTTATGCATACTGGTAGTACAGATCTACGCAGTCAACATTCAGTCACATTACTTGTTGTGAAGGTTAGTGAAACACAACCTGGCTGCTGTCTGTACAAACACATGAGTAGGTGTTGTGGGGTTGGAATTTGTGACCTAGTCAAATACTGGGCAAACGAATCAGATTATTATTTTTTTTGATTGAGATCATAAATTGATTGATATTAGACCACCATGGAAAACCTGGAAGCACTGGATGGCTGTTTCGTCATAGTACGGCACTCCACAACGGCGAGCATCTACGACCCCGCTCGCGGTATTTGAATCCAGGGCGTTTGGTCTCGCGCGCGAACGCTTAACCTCTAAACCACTGGGCTGGCATCCAATAGTGTTAATGTCTAACTTCAACCAATCCATGAAATTGCGTGACCATCTTCCATTGTCTGAGGTAGATACCTGTCTCTACCTGACATGGATTAGCTCCACTGGTCACGGCTTCTCACTAGAATTCCCTGAAGAAGCTATTCACTAGTGAGCACATAGTAATTATCAGTATGAGGTTGTGGAGATTGTTAAGTTTTTGACTGAGATCATGAACCGATTGATTTTAATTTACTACATAGCTAGAATTTCGGGGAAAATCATCATTACTGATCACGGTCACAACACAATATGTTTTGCACATGTTTTTATTAATTATACAGAAATGCTCAAATGATTTATATATACAGTAATTTGGAGTGCTGAATTGTGATGTAAAATTCCTTTGAAAATAGACAGAAACACAATGAAAGCAAGCAAATGTACTGTAATCATCATTATATATACTTTATCTAGATACATTCAAATTAAATGATAACGTAAATGAGTAGACAAAAGAGAATAGAATAACGGTTATCAATAGGCCGACAGTAAAAAAATGTAGACTAATCTAAAAATATATACATAACCCAGAAATTGCATCGATTAAAGGAAGTCGAAACTACACAGGTTGAATATTTTACTTTTCAATGAATTAATTTGATCATATTTTAACGAATCATAAATTACGATATGGTAGTTAAAATCATGCATTTTTGACAAGGCGAAACTATATGTCGATTTATCTATCTATGTTCATGTTTGCATCGGTCTAAACATGAAAAAAACCTGTCCAAGGTCATATGATCTAAACACGTATGGACTAGACAAAGTCAAACATATGAATCCACAGGAATCAGACAGTCGACAAATAAATGCATTCATTGGCATTCACTGGTAAAAAATTTACAGTTTGTCTGGAAAATTAGAGGGAAGAGATTTATTTATTTATCTGAACACATAAACATCGGTATAAGGGGGTACTAAATACATATATGCCATACAATAACAATGAGGCCAGTAGTAGTCATCATGGATTTGCGTTGGGGCTATGATATTGCCCGGGTGCCCAAACCGCAGCATGAAGAGGAAAGAGAACTATGGAAATGACCACCGATATATAATAATATTAATAATGAGAAGAAAAGTTGTTCAGATTGTGAGTATAATCGCTAGTATATATATATATAATTGTATTTTACTTATTGATTGGAAGTGTAAGAACTTGTAAATCAGGTTAAGGAATATTTTTCATTTGATTAATAATAGTAACTAACATTTAAGAATGAAATTCGAATAAGTATCCAATGTATATTCAAATTATAAAAATTAAAAATAAATTCAAAGGAATTTTTGTATCTATTTTTTTTAATTTCTGCTAACTACTTGAAAAGAGTATAAGAATAATATGTTTGAATTGTTTATGTTTTAAAAAAAAATTATTATCCCTAATTGAATATGTCCAATTAATCTTATCTAACTGAAAATAAATATACATAAAGAACTACAACTTAATATCTTGAACACTATCCATAATGATATATAGATGTTAAAGTATGTTACTAATTTGAGTAAAAAATAACTTGTGACAGGAGTCTAACTACTAAAGGGTAGTTTAGTGGAAATTGTCGAACTTCAGTTTTTCACTAATGACAAGGGATAATGATCGAGTAATATTGCAGTTTGACTGAAGTTAGAAATCTAAACTATTGGATGCCAACTTAGTAACCGAAAAGTTAAGTGCTTGCCGAGGAACATGAAAGTCTTAGGTCTAGCCCTTGGTGTGATTGTGGTTGCGCACTACTAAGTAGCTCTATACTAGGACGAAGCAACTGTTCAATACTTTCTGGTTCTTAATGGATTTCTAATATCGGTAGTCCAAATTTCATGATATTAACATTTACAACTGATTGAGTCAAAAGTATTTGAGTTATGTGTCACTTAACATGATTATGGTCATTTGAATAATTGTCAGGTTTGCATTAGGATTGATAATATAACAATACAAATATAATACAATAAACAATACACTATTAATTAAGTGTAAAACTATCAGTTAGAAAACAAGCTTTACTAAGTACTTACTTTTCAGAGCTTTTATGATGCATTGTATTGGTTGAACCACCAACGGCATAAATCATATCGTCGACAACACCAACAGCAACTCTATTACGAGGCACTGACATAGGAGCACATGTAGTCCAACAATTTTTTCTTGGATCATAACAATCCATGTGAGGTGCATCTATATTTCCTTGTTCATTATTATTTCTACCTCCTACAAGATAAACGCATCCACGTACAGAACAAGCAGACAGGCCACTACGTGGGCTAGGTATATCTGGTAGACGTCTCCATTTATCTGTAAGTGGATTGTAACATTCAAATGCACTTAGTGAATAACGCAGATAACCACCAGCTGAGTAAAGAATCTGGAAAATAAGATTATGTAACTAACTAGTCATCACAAAAGGAACTAGCAAAAAATGTCAAAAATGCAATTCAGTGATTAAGTATCAGTTTATGTACTAGAGGGCAAAACAAAAATTAGAACTCCAAACTTACTGGTCAAACGTTTCAGATCAAAAATCCACAATACTACTATTCATAATAACTAGAAGTGGGTTAATACTACTACCTAGTTTCCGAAAGCTTTTACCACAAAAAAATATGACGTATAAGCCTAACTGCACAGTTAATAAGATATCCATAATAAGTTGATTGGTGAAATCAGCAAATCAAAAGGGATGTAGGACCATGGATGAATATGTATCGGTACAAGTTCTCACAACTCATATCAACAGACCGAAAGAAATCAATACAATAAACAGAGAAGAGGGAGATGTTAACTACCATGGAAAGTTGAACACAGAAAATTTAGCTAACTAGTGGCCATAGAAGTATGTTCTTCAAGACACTACAGTAGAGACGGGTTAATTTAAAAGATAACACTCACAATAGAGGAAATCAAGCTATTCGCAGTGGGAGCTGACTGATAAAATCTCAGAAAATGAATACATTTTAAGAGTCAATCTCTTAATTTGACTTCAATCGAAAATTCGGGATATGGCTCGACGGCTATTATGAAAGAAAAGATTTAACTACAAATAAATTGGCTGAACACAGCAGTGGTTCAAAAATCTATTCTAGTGTCAAGTAAACATTTACATATAAAAATAGGTTTAAAAAGCCAAACAGAATTGTAGTAATGATAACCAAAATACCTCCATTGACCCAGCTGTCCGTTTATTTATTGAGATATGACGGTGTTTAATAAGATCATCTAGAATATTTTGTAAATGAGATTTTGCAGGAGTGAAACCTGCAAGAAGACTACAATTTTTTATTTGCCCTTGTATAAATGTAGGAGGAAGTGTATAGCATCTGACGGCAGACAAAGCTTCAAGCAGTGTAGATGATCTTGAATTTCTATTATGATTTACCCATCTGATAACAGCGTTATACACTTCCGCTTCAGTTCGTACATTTAATTCATCACGTTTAATTAAAGTTAAAAGTTGGTTAGGATGAAGTCCTAGAAACTCGTCATGTTTTACTATCTCGCTAAAATTTTGATCAATAAACTTTTGAGCAGCAAACGATAATTCGGAACAATTATTTGACTGTGCGAACTCTTGAATTCCAATAGCATTTGAGGGATGTAGTTGCTGCTTTAAAAAACTACAACAAGCTTGGACAACGTGAGACATTTGAATCATAGAAGCAGCTATGAGTAATTCACATACATTCCGTTCACTTATTTGTATTCTACCGGTATATGCGAAATCGATCAACTTTTTTAAAGCAGTTGCCGATATGTAATGTAATTTGATTTCATGTAAAAGTGCTTCACGCATTTCACCAGTGAACATAGCTCGGAAATATGGTGAAGCACCAGCTAAAACAATTCGATGACATTGAATCGATTCTGAATTTACACATAATGTGACATCAGTTAATTTTTGAGACTGAAATAATTCATACATAGTATTCATAGCCTCTTTTAAGTAGTGATTTAATTCGAAATTCATACAAGTTAAATTATCATTTGATTCATTCGAAGAGCATGTAGGTAGAATGTAAGTAGGATGTGGGATATACAATTCTGAATTGGCTAAATCAGGGAATGATGATGAAATATCACGATTTGTAGATGATACAGAAAGTTCATCCATGGGAAAATCTTCGACATTTTCTTTCATTATCATTTTTTCTTACTATGACTGATTAATTCGTACGAGATTAATCATTTAAAATTGATTCCTGTAAAATCAATGAAAAAAAAGCTGTCGAAAACAATCATTACAAAAGTCAAGGAACTAATCAACTACGTTAGAAAGACGTCATTTATAGATAGAAAAAATTCTCGATTTGAAACCAGTGCCCGTTATGTGCGGTTTGTCACAGAAATAAAATGTTGTACAGTTGTACGAATAAAAACAGTCAACCAAGGGAAAAATAAAGAGACAAATATATTAGTGCATTAGAAAATAGAAAATAAGATCGGATACGAAGAATACAGGGGTCAAGCGCTAATGCAAATCATTCGCTCATAAAGTAATTTTAACTGAACTGTAAAAACATGCATTCTAAATTTTTCAAGTCTTGATCTCCAACAGTGTTTGAGAAGCCTCCTACGAGTATGCGACACAAGTTGCAAACATGGTATTTCGGAGTAATGTATAGTCTAGACACAACCGTCAAAAGTTTTATAGTTGGATGCTTTTTTACAATGGTAAATACCATAACATTTTCAGTCAACGAAAATTATTCACAGCATTCATGATGATAACGCCCGTAGTTACACATGGTTCCTTAACACATGAAACTGAATCCTTTGGAGCATTTGCCAAGCCTTTCTCTGAATTAATAAGCAAAGTGGGTTCGCCACATACATATATATTTCGTTGAATGTTTATCCAGGATCATTTCGTCTGACACAGCTCTATTTTTGACTTGTGCAACGTAACATAAATAGCCACTACCCACTAGTCTTACTCAGTCAGTCAGTCATAACGTAGAACTTCGTACGTACGTACATCAGTTCGAGTTGCCATACCACATTAGCACAGAGATGCAGTTGTCCATTCAAATCCCATAGTGGTAGAAGTAGTAGGAGTATAATCAGAAATCCAAAAGATTAGGGTTTGAAGAAATTATTGAAGGAGTATAGTACAGTGAAATAAATTTGGAAAGAGAAAAAGATAGAGACTTGAGGAATTCAGAAGTTGGTAGAACACAAAGAGTGGATACACCTTCGCCATTGCAAACGATTTTGAGCCATGTCATTCAAGGTCTCTAATCATCGGTTGCTATCATCTGGCGCATCCCAACCAGGTAGTCTACACCTACCAACATGGCTCAGTCCAATTGTCAGTGACTTCATTGATTTGTGCCATGTTTTGGTCTGGCCACCCCTAGCTTTCTTCCAACCTACACCATGAAACATTGCACGTCGGGGCAGTTGGTGGTTGAGCATACGTAACACATGTCCCAGCCATCTCAACTGGTGAAGTTTCACTACTTCATCAATCGACTTGCCATCCCTACCTAGTACTCGTTTCCTAACAACTGCATTACTTACCCGGTGGTCCCAGGATATACGAGCAATGCGTCGAAGACACCTGTGATCAAAAACTAGTAGCCTACGAATATCCTCTACTCTTATCGGCCATGTTTCACTACCATAAAGTAGGACGGAGCGAACTGCTGCACAGTAAACACGTCCTTTGGTTGCTAGACGGTTATCTCGCCTACGCCATAAATGACGCAAGTTGGCGAAAGCTAGACGTGCCTTCTGTATCCGTGCTGAGATTTCGTCACAGAAAAGACCACAAGGGCTGATGGGACTCCCAAGATAAGTGAAGTGGTCTACATTTTCAGCTACTTTACTCCCTATCATTAGTTCAGGTGTCGATGCAACCCAATCCTGAAGTAACATTTTGCACTTCGAGGGAGAGAATCGCATCCCGAACATGCTTGCATAGTTGCTTATAGTGGTCAGAAGACTCTGTATGTTGTCAGCGTCTTCACCGAGTAAAACTATGTCGTCGGCGTATTCTAAGTCAACAAGTGAGCCTCCCGGTAAAAGTTCAACTCCTGGAGGTTTAGCTGATGAAAGTGCTATCTCTAAAAGTATGTCAATGACAAAGTTAAACAAGAATGGGGAGAGTGGACAGCCCTGACGAACACCACTTGAGGTAATCAGTTCTGATGACAGTTCGCCATAGGCTCTAACTCGACCAGTAGTGTTCGAGTAGAGAGCCTTTATGAGGTTAACATACTTCTTTGGTACTCCTATCAGTGACAAACATTGACATAGAACCTCACGATCCACGGAGTCAAATGCCACCTTAAGGTCAAGAAATACTACTATTGTGGGACGTCTGAATGTATGTTCATGTTTTAGGATCTGACGTAGGGTGAATATCTGGTCTACGCAACCACGTCCAGGTCGAAAACCAGCCTGGTTTTCTCTAGTCTGCTCTTCACGAGCTTTGGTTAGGTGACCTAGTATTATTGAAGCTAATATTTTAGACACTATATTAGTCAAACTGATCCCTCTGTGATTGTCACAGGAGGACTTTTGTCCTTTCTTATAGACTAGCACAATCAGTGATTGGGACCAGTCAGATGGAATTACGTCCAGTTCCCAGATTCTACCTAAAACCTCAGTCAATCTCACTGCTAGTACTGGACAACCATTCTTAAAAATCTCAGGGATCAACCTGTCAGGGCCTGCTGCTCTCCCTCGCTTCAGATTTCCTATAGCTTTTTCAACCTTGCAGAGGGTTGGAGGACTTACATCAATTTGCCATTCAGGACGACTGCGGATCGTGGGTAACTGAAGTGTAGCTGAAGGCCAGTTGAACTGGTCCCTAAAGTGTTCTGCCCATCGATCCAATCTCCTGGATTGAGAATGAACGATATGCCCATATTTATCTGAGATAGTTTCACTGATACTTGGGTTCCTAATACCGGTTTCTTTAACGAGTCTGAATAGCTGCCTACTGTTACCTATTGCCGCTGCCTTTTCCATCTCTCTTGCTTTCGCTACCCACCACTGTTCACGATCATTGCGTAGGCTTCTTATTAGCTTGCGCTTAAGTTGACTCCGCTCTTCGTAATGTTCGGAGACAGATGGTATGAGTTTTCGAGCATCTATCAGTGCGGTAGATGCTGCCGAGATCCATTGTTTCTCCCTAACCTTATGGTTTACCTTACTAGCGGATATCACTGCTGATTCCACAGCCTTCCGGATGTCATTCCACGCTGCCTCGGGGTGGGCATAACTTACATAGCTGTCTAACTGTTTTTCTAGTTGTTCCTGAAATATATTCTTAGCTGGCCTATCATTAAGTAGAACCCTTAGAGGCTTCCCTGCAGTGTCTTTCCTACGTCCAGTAAGACGCAGACAGATACGTGCTCGCACTAGAGCATGATCTGAATCTAAACATGTGCCCCAGAATGAGCGACAGCCTTCTATCGAGCCCCTCCATCGGTGGCTGATAGCGATGTGATCTAATTGGGTTCAACGTTGGGACGAATTCGGGGGTCGCCAGGTCAAAAGATGTTTTTCCTTATGCTTAAAGTTAGTATTTGCAAGAAATAGGCGGTTATCTGAGCACAGCTGCAACAGACGGTCGCCATTATCTGTTCTTTTGGCCACGACACCATAAGATCCACCCAGGTGTCTTTCCCTTTCACTTAGTTTACCTACTTGAGCATTAAAGTCGCCAGCCACTATTACTACATCAGAACGCCTAGCTTTTCGGAGGTCAGAAAGTTTCCTGTAGAACTCATATTTTATATCGTCTGAGCTGCAGACAATGGGAGAGTAGGCAGAGACGAAGAAGAGGCAACGACGAGTTTCCCTATCTTTCCGGGTCCTTACTGATCCGTTTAGTCGGACAGAGCATAGACGACTGTTTATTGGGATCCAGTCTAAAAGAGCTAGTTCTGCCCTACGACCTAATGCTATACCTACTCCAGCGAGGCCACGGGAAGCAGCATCAGGGCTTCCAGATACACGAAGCGTGTATCGAGATGAATCTTTATTTTGATCAGGTGCGGTCAAATGAATGACACTACTCGGATCTTGTATGCGCGTTTCGGAGACGCAGCACACATCGATGGTGTAAGATTCTAGAGTCCTAGCTAAGGAAGCCTGTTGTCCTATTTGGCACAATGTTCGGACATTAAAAGTTCCTACTTGTAGTTTAGAGTGTGGTTTCAGGAGACCAGGAATAACGTTCCGTGTACTCGAATCGTTTGCCCTAGCGGTGCGAGGTGATAAAAGGACGTGAGAAGGGTTAGTTGTAGAGATAAGAGTGTTATTAGGTGTTGGAAGGATTTGAAAGTGACCAACTTGGTCTCGTGTGCAGTTATGGGTATGAGGGCTAATATCACTTCCCGGCTGCCCACACCGTGGAAGGGTATTTCTTGAGGGACCTGAAAAAGAAGTTGGATTAGTGTTGGTCATAACGACCTGGGAGCGTGACCGCAGTGCCCAAGGGACAACTGCTTGAGGCCGGTCACGCACGGCCTTTTTGTGGGTAGTTTTTGTGTTAGCTCCGTTCTTCAAAGGACCTTACCGCCGGAGACGGAAATCCGTGGGATAAGGCGAGGTGTGCATTTTTAGGGTCGACCTTTTCTAACCCCACCCCTCCTTGTGGAAAGGCAGCATCGCTGTCATGCTGGTTGTCTGAAGGAAACACCTTACTGCTGTCACACCTCTGTACAGTCAGCAGTACGACTTCGCCTTCGGACCTTGGGATTGCTGCTTTTAGTCTCACCGCTCTTCAACCGACCTGTCTGGCATGGTAAGACCTTGAGGAACGATTGTTCCAGCCAGCATAGCCCGATTGGATCATCACGATAGGCAAGCCCGACAACCACGTCAAGGTAGCAGCAACGGTCGGGACTAGTCTTACTACATATGAGAGATGCTTCTGTTTACATGTGGTCTTGGCTAGAAATTTGGAAAATACCAACACTATGGAAAACAAAATGAGTGAACGCAATTATTGAAAGCATAATAATTTTACTTCACCAGTACACCTTTAATATCTCCCAACTAATAAGTAAACAAACTGGCCTGGGGAAAATCTCTACCATTGAGAAAAACAGCACTTTTTTATACAGACTATCTTTTCGGTAACCAATAATATTTCAGTATGGGGATTTACGGAGATCGTAGTAGTTTAACAGTTGGATTCACGAGTCGATCTAAGCCGGCTGAGTTATCTAGAGGTTAAACTTTA